CTGCTGTGGGTCAAGACACTCTGCTTCATAGGAAAGTCTTGTTTGTCATTCCCACCACAGATTTGGACCATATAACCCTTCCGCTCTTCACCTAGAGCATTAGCAGCTTACTTCTGTGAATGTGTACTTCTCATAAAGTGTGAAGTTTGAATTTAGTGACATTGGTCGGCTGGGAAGGAGATATTTCAGCTTTATCTTGACATAGCCGATTGACTACCTAGGAAGCACCATGAAAAAAGCCGTACTGTGGTTTTGATTGGCATTTCCATTATGCCTAGTGATACTGACTATTCTTTTGTATGTTTATTAGCTATTTATATGTGTTCTTGAGAAGATTCCATATCTGTCAAGTTTCTTTTTTTTCCCCTTGGTTTTTTGAGACAGGATTTCTCTATGTAGCCATGGCAGTTCTGGAACTCACTCTGCTCACTCTGTTAGACCAGAACTCAAAGAGATCTGCCTGCCTCTGCCTCCCAAGTGCTAGGATTAAAGGCATGTGCTACTACCACCTGGCTTTATTTTCATTTTTAATCTTAAATTTTAAAACAGGATGCCATGTAGTCTAAGCTGGTCTTGAATTTACTATACAGCAAGACTTGCTTTTACATCTTTTAAAAAATTTATTTATTCCTGGTGTGTGTGTGTTTGTGTGTCTGTGTGTCTGTCTGTCTGTCTGTCTCTGTCTCTGTCTGTCTGTCCATCCGTCCCACAACATGAATGCGGAGGTTAGAGAATAACTTGTGGGAAGATGAGTTTTCTTTTATGTGGAGCTTAGGGATTGAACTTGGGTGTCAGGCTTGGTGGCAAGCACCTTTATCTACTGAACCATTTTGCCAGCTGGTCTTGAACTCTTGATCCATTGGGCTTCACTTACCAAGTGCTGGGATTATAGGTATATGTCACTGTGGCCAGTTCTTTGATGATTCTTAGATTGGACAGCCTTTTCTTCTTTTTAATTGTTTAGTTGGAGAAGTTCTTTATTCTAGATAGAAATTCCTTCTCAGATAACATACTTTGCAAGTAAATCTTCCATTTTTGTCACTTGCCTTCACTTAAAATAATACATAGAGTAATAGAAGAACTACATTTGGTTACATTTAAAAAAACAGAGGTTAAAAGCACCGATTGCTCTTCCAGGGGTCCTGAGTTCAATTCTCAGCAGCCACATGGTGGCTCACAACCATCTACAATTCAATCTGGTGCCCTCTTCTGGCATGTAGGCAGAACACTCTATGTGTAATAAATAAATGTTTAAAAAAAACAGTTTTCAAATCAACTGTGCAGAGAGCATGCCTGCTTGTGGGGCTTCTCAGTTCCTACTACTACTTCCAAGTCTGCCTTTCGGCAAGCCCACTGGGGCAGCTAGAATTTGAGCTTAGCTTTCTGAATCCCATTTCTGGTCTTGTTTTCCCGTTTCCCTTCTGTTGAGAACTTTGTGTTCATGCTTAGGTATCACTTTGTTTGCCCTCTTCTCCCACCATCCAGACCTCTGCTCTACTATGGAAGGAGGCACTGACCTCAGAAGAGTCTGGATTATGCTTCTGTCCTCAGGCTTTTGAACTCTTGAGTTCTTGGTGATATTCTTGGGCCAGGCTCATCCTTTCCCTCTATCTTCTTGCTTTGGGAACGAAGCTGTTACTCTCCAGTGTTTGTCATCCTCCTTTTTGGTGTGGTTGTCATCTTTAGAGCTCTATGTAGACAGTGACTTTTGATAAGTGCTTTATTGCCTAGCTTGCCCCTTGTTTTCTAATTGATGAGCTTGTTAGAATGGATGTACATGATTACCATGTGACAAAGTGACAGGACTCTGATTTCACCTTAATACGTGAAGTTTAGCTTCACATAAAAAAAGCATTATAGCTAATAATGTTGCAAGCCATCTATTGTGTGGAGATACTGTAAATGTGCGCTAGGTCTTTCAGTGTAGTGACAGAAAAGTACAAACAATGACAGGTTGATAGACTGTTATTTGTGCTAGTATCATCTACCCAAATTACCAGCTGTGTTTACTGAACAGTACCAACAAGAGGTAATTGCCTCAGAGGAAATGCTTGTTATTGAAAAGCTTTAATTTTTTTGAGGTGTTTACCTTTATAAACAGTAATTTGAAGGAATAGCTGTTTATTTTGTTTTATTCAGTCTTCTGATTATGGAAGTTAACTACAACTTCTGGATTGCACAGGAGAGCTGCTGTAACCAGCTAGTGGTCTTTGTTAGAGGACCACACATCTGTCTTTTAAAGTATGTGCAATTCCTGATTTTACTGAGAGATTAAAGCTAGAAGGGAGAAGCCAGAGTGTGTTGTTACTTGCCTGTACCCCCTCCTTTATTCTAAGGAAATCACCCCCTTCAGAGTTCTGCAATAAACATTGTTAACTGCATTACTGGAGTGTGTTAAACTATTGTTGTGTTCTCCCTTGAGCTTGTCTATTTCCTTGCAAAATCTATAGCATATCCAGACAACTTGGTGCTCTGTATTTGAACAAATCCATTACCTGGTTTTATCATTGGGTTTTAAGATCTTAGGGAGAGGCATTTTGTTTCTGAATGTTCAGTCTCAGCAGCACTTGGTTTATGTCAGTTCACAAATACTGAGAGAACAAAAGCATTTTCTGTAAGTTCAGCAAATTTTTGTACTGGCTACCTATTGTGTTATCATTTCCGGTGGTATTGGCTCTATGCCAGTGATTTAAGAATGAGAAAATCAGTATCTCAAGTACAGTTTTACATGATATTTTGCTTCTTTTAATTTATCATTCTGTAGTGATAGTTATTCCCAGATTCATTGCCGTAACCGAGGCTTATTTCCTCTTTATCTAGAGGTATTAATATGTAGCAAATAGACTTGTGAATGTGGTTTTAGGATGGTTGAGGGAGAGATGGTCAGAGTCTTTCTGGTCCTCACATAAAGAGTAAAAATTGTGTGATTAATTCTTCTGTCTATATAGTAACACATGGATCATACCATGGTATCAGGAATTTAGCAAGTTGTCTTTTTTTAAAATTTAATTTAAATTAGAAACAAGTTTGCTTCACATGCCAATCCTAGCTCTCTCTCCCTCCCCTCCTCTCCTGCCCCCCCTTCAACCCTCCCTCTCTCCTTCCCCCAATCCCCACTCCACTCTCCAAGGAGGTTGAGGTCCTTGTTGGGGGATCTCGAAAGTCTGTCATATGATCTGGGGCAGGGCCTAGGCCCTCCCCCCATGTGTCCAGGCGGAGACAGCATCCCTTCACATGGAATGGGCTCCCAAAGTCCATCTGGATGACAGGGCTAAATGCTGATTTGTTGCCTGAGGCCCCAAAGGATGCTGAGGCCTCCTCACTGACACCCACATTCAGGGATCAGTCCCATGCTGGCTTCTCAGCTATCAGTCTGGGGTCCATGAGCTCCCCCTTGTTTAGGTCAGCTGGTTCTGTGGATTTCACCTGCCAGGTCTTAACCCCTTTGCTTTTTGTTCCTCCCTCTCTGCAACTGGGTTTCAGGGGTTCAGTTCAGTGTTTAGCTGTGGGTGTCTGCTTCTGCTTCTATCAGCCACTGGATGAAGTCTCTAGGATGGCAGCAAGTTAATTTGGAGGTCCTTTGACTTATTGACGCTATATATAAGTCAGATGTATCAAATGTTCCAACTTTGATTTAAATTTTATTTTTTCATTTTGTCTAGTTCAGTTCCAGGTCATATTTTAGTGTCTGGCATATGTTTTACAGTTTAATTGTAATATTTTATTTGGACTCTTATGTAGTTGATACCATTTTAGATTTATAAAGAGGTAGTTAATGGATCTATTAAGAGTCACTCTTTGGAGCCGGGCATTGGTGGGGACCTTGGGTAGCTCACCTTAATATTCTAGAAAACCTTAACCTTTTGTTGCATTTTCTAGGATTGAATGAAATTCTCACACACACAAAAATATTATTGGAGTGTGTATATTCATGTATATCACTTGCTAATTGAACTGTCTGATTTTGCCCATTAATTTTATGTCAAGAGTCCTTGACTAAGAACATCACCTAGGGGAAAATGTTCATTTTTTGAAAATTTCCTCATGATTGACATAATGCCAGTATAAAATTGATTGAGTAGGAGTTTATATACATGTTCAGCACTGTTGTATTGTTTTACACAATGCTTTTTAGTGACATTACCATTAAAATATTTTTTCATATTATATATTTTGATCATATTCTTTCTTCTCCCCAAACTCCTCTCATATCCTCCTAATCCCCACCTGCTATTGTTATGTTTTCTCTATCTGTCTCTGTCTCTCTGTCTCTCTCTCTCTCTGTATCTCAAAAGACAAAAAAAAAAATTGAAAATCAAACCAAAAAACCAGTAAGGGAAAAAAAATAACAAAAAGAAACAACAAGCCCACGCACATACAAAAATGGAGTCTGTTTTGTGTTGGTCTGCTGCTTCTGAGCATGGTGCCTGCCTGGAATGTGGATGATATATCCAGTGACATTCTGTTAGAGCAAAATAATACATAGGAACTCACAGAGACTACAGAAGCATGTACATGACCTGTTCAGGATCAAACTAGACAAGTCCCAGCGTTGAGAAAGGGGAGTGGACACAAAAGTCCTACCTAACTAATAGCTATTTGCTATTGATATAAACTGGCATTTTCATTTTAAGGGACTATTAGGCTAGATATTTCCTGAGAGACAATACTTTTTTGAGGGAAGTTTACCTTTGGGTGAATAATTTGTGAAAACTAATCTACAAAAGGCTTAATAATGTATCTCTTGCTGGGTGGTGGTGGTAGTGGTGGTAGTGGTGATCGCCTTTAATTCCAGCACTTGGGAGGCAAGAGGCAGGTGGATCACTGAGTTTGAGGCTTGCCTGGTCTACAGAGAGTGAGTTCCAGGATAGCCAAGGCTACAAGAGAAACCCTGTCTCAAAAATAAAAACAAAACAAAACAAAAAACCTCAACAAAACAAAACTGTGTATCTCTTAATAATTATGAGCTTTTATGTTGACACTGACATTCTTTTGTATAGGAGTTAAAGTTCCTCGGAATTTTCGCTTGTTGGAAGAACTTGAAGAAGGACAGAAAGGAGTAGGTGATGGTACGGTTAGCTGGGGCCTTGAAGATGATGAAGACATGACACTTACAAGGTGGACAGGCATGATTATTGGGCCACCAAGGGTCAGTGCTATAAATTATACATGTTTACTGTTAATATTTATTGTTTATTTTGAGTTAGTATTTAATTTTATTGGTAATTAAAGACAATTGTGATAACTTTTGACAGGACTAATTCCTGCATTTTTATATGTTCTATGTATGTTTAATTGTTGCTACCTCTTGTTTGAAGGGTATAAGCTTGGTTAGCAGGAGGACTGGGGTGGTGGAGAAGTGGCATGGTTGTTGTCCCCAAAGTGTTTGTATTTTAGTAGAGAAAAAAAGATCAGTCCTAGTGTTAGATTCTAATATGGCTGAGCAAGTTCACCATGTTTCTTCTACTGGAACAAGTTGAGGAAGGGATAGCAGAGGATGAAATTGCCTTTGGAATGGCCATAAAGGACTGATTGGTAGGATTTCTGAAGGTGGAGATGGAGAACATTCCATATCAGAGAGGAAGAAAAGGGAGGAAGTGGAGGGGATATTTGGAAGAGTGTGTCACGGTATCTGCTCTCTTATGTGACTGAAGATCTCTAGATTGGCTTGCAGTGATTACGCATTGCTGTGCCCTCTGTTTCACAGGCCTGGGTGGGATATTCTAGGTCTTAATGCCCCAATTTACAAAATATAGCAGCAAATCTAAGAGTCTTCTGGAGGTATGTAGTTCAGTGGTAGAACATATGAAGTTAGTATGGATACCACATGGAATTCTTTTCCCTTCCTTTCCTTCCCCTTCCCTTCCATTCCCCCTCCTCCATTCCCCTCCCCTCCCTTCCCCCTCCCCCTCCCTTTCCCTTTCCCCTTCCCTTTCCTTTCCCCTTCCCTTCCCTTTCCCCTTCCCTTCCTTTCCCTTCCCCTCCCTTCCTTTCCCTTCCCCCTTCCCCTCCCTTCCCCTCCCTTCCCCCTTCCCCTCCCTTCCCCTCCCTTCCCTTCCCTTCCCTTCCCTTCCCTTCCCTTCCCTTCCCTTCCCTTCCCTTCCCTTCCCTTCCCTTCCTTCCCTTCCCTTCCCTTCCCTTCCTTCCTTCCCTTCCCTTCCCTTCCCTTCCCTTTCCCTTCCCTTCCCTTCCCTTTCCCTCCCTTCCCTTCCCTTTCCCTCCCTTCCTTCCCTTCCCTTCCCTTCCCTTCCCTTCCCCCTTCCCTTCCCTTCCCCCTTCCCTTCCCCTTCCCCCTTCCCTTTCCCCTTCCCCCTTCCCTTTCCCTTTCCCTCCCTTCCTTCCCTTTCCCTCCCTTCCTTCCCTTCCCCCTTCCCTTCCCTTCCCCTTCCCCCTTCCCTTCCCCCTTCCCCCTTCCCTTTCCCCTTCCCCTTCCCTTTCCCTTTCCCTCCCTTCCCTTCCCCTTTCCCTCCCTTCCCTTCCCTTCCCCCTTCCCCCTTCCCTTCCCCCTTCCCCCTTCCCTTCCCCCTTCCCCCTTCCCTTTCCCCTTCCCTTCCCTTCCCTTCCCTTCCCTTCCCTTCCTTCCCTTCCCTTCCCTTCCCTTCCCTTCCCTTCCCTCCCCCTTCCCTTCCCTTCCCTCCCCCTTCCCTTCCCTTCCCTCCCCCTTCCCTTCCCTCCCCTTCCCTTCCCTTCCCCCCTTTCCTTTTTCCTTGGCAGGGTTTCTCTGTATAGTCCTGTCTGTTCTGGAACTCAAACTCACTCTGTAGACCAGACTGACCTCAAACTCACAGAGATCTGCCTGCCTCTCCTCCTAAGTGCTGAGATTTAAGGTGTGCATCAACACTGCCTGATTAAGGTTCTTAAATATTTTCTAGTATTGTTATTGATATCTTGTGCATTTGTTCTTAGGTCTTTCTCAGGATTGTGTGAAGTTTTGTTTTGTTTTTTGAGACACGGTTTTTCTGTGGCTTTGGAGGCTGTCCTGGAACTAGCTCTGTAGACCAGGCTGGTCCTGATCACTGAGATCAGGAGGTCTGCCTCTGCCTCCCGAGTGCTGGGACTAAAGGCTCGCACCACCACCACCACCACCACCCAGGTGTGTGAAGTTTTTATGTATTTTTTTTTTACTAGACAGAGAAATTTTTTCTTGCAGTGCATTCTTTATTCAGTGTCTTAAGCAGTGCATTGAAATAGGTATTATTTAATTTTTCATGTAATTAGCAGTGTTAGACGAGTAAGTGTATCTTACGACATTTTCTGGTGTTCCTTTGCAGTCCTTTTATACTGAGTCTGTTAAGAGTACACAGTTTGTAGACTTCATGTGTACTCTTGAAAGTCTCCTTCTGACTTCTGCTCTGATTCTTCCATAGATATTAAGAAAAGGAAATATAAGATTGGTTAAAAGACTATATAACTTGGTATTTGTGACAAAAACTGATTTCTTCACTGTCTGTAAACATTATTATGATAGTCTAGCTAAAAGAAAATTAAAAGCATGTAGTTGTAACATTGTGGCATAGACTAGCTTGAAGATTTAAGTCAAAACTTGGTAAAATGTAAATTTGAATTTATTTAGGTTGGGTTTTTCTCCAGTCACTTCCCCCAGTAGACTTTGTATCTGAAGAATGTGTTGGACCTGTGTCTAGTTTATCAGTGGTCTTGCAGACTGACTCAGCATAGTTTCCCAATGGGGAGGAAATGCTCTAGTTCCTACTTTATTTCTCTCCATTTGGGTCTCCTTTGGGATTCCTAAGCCCATTGCTTTTCCTGGTGTCATTGACACACAGGAAATACCATGTCATGCCCTTACCCAATTGGAGCTAAAGGCTATTTGTGTAGTTCCTGTCTCTTAGCTCTGAGACACAGGCAGAGATGCCATGGCCTTCTCTTTGGGCCATTGCATTAGAGTTGTGTGTGTGTGTGTGTGCGCGCGCGCGTGTGTTTGTGCGTGTGCTACCTTTTCTTCACCCTACAAGGTTTATGACTGAGGTGTATAATGTACGTTTATTTCATTGGAGTTTAACATGACAAGGTAGGCTTTATAGAATTTTACACTGCTTGGTTAAGAGTGCACAATTTGGAATATGATTGCACAGACAGCCTGATTCAGTAGTACTAAACGGGGTGGAAGGGGCACTGAACAAGGCCTATTAGGTTCTTCTCTATTCCTGACTTTTCAGAGATGAAAAATTTCCTTGTTTTCTGGCTGTAAGGATGAGATTTAATGACCTATTCTAGGACATGCCTGCCAGGTTTTGTGACCTGATTCAGGGGAGAAGAGAAGGACTTGCTTCTGTTTATTTTTTTGTTTACTTTTTGGGGGGCAGGGTCTTGCTGTGTAGTCCAGGCAGGCTGGTTTCAGACTTGAAATGATCCTCTTGCCTCAGCCTCTCTAATGCTTGGACAATCATACCACCATGCCTGGCATTTTTTGTTTTGTTTTTTCTTTTTAATATAATTTCTTTAGATAATATGATCTGCGTTCAAATTGGAGAACCACGAAAAAGATTCTCTCTTGAGAACTGTTTGATTTCACTCAGTTTTGTATAGCACCAAATTGTTGGGTGTATGACTGTTTGCTGTCAAATTTGGGTGAGTTATAGAGCTTTTTCAAAATATTGAAGTATTTAATAACATGCATCAGATTATTTCATACATCTTTTATTTATAGTAGTTTAATATTGCATATCTGAACTCCGCTTAAGAATAGCTTTGTAGTTGTTAACATGGCTTATTTTTCTCCCTAGTTTTATACAGACATCAGTAGATACCTTTGTTACTTTCATTTGTTATGTAATTTCCTGTTTCAGAACTATACTAGTAAGTGAACAAAAGTTATAATGAGAAAGAAAAGCTAATTATTACATGAGAAGCCTTGAAGTCTAATTTATAACCTTAAAATTCCTGTTTTATATGAATGTAGTATTAGCTAAACTTAATAGCAGCTATGTTTGAAAGTTTGTGTAAAAATATATATTAATTCAGATAATGGAGTTAATAAACCATAGAATTCATTAAGTAATAGTGTAAGTAATGGGAAAACAAGAAATTGTTCTATTGTTGTAAGATGAGGTATGTTATGATTTTCCCTTTTCTAGAAGTAATACCTGCCCATCTGTGGAAATTGATCATACTTTTTTATTCAGCAAATCCATGTGAGAATAAAAAGAGGTATTGCTAATATTACTGAAATAATAGAAATCAATGAGATTGTTTTGGCTGGTGAAAACCTTTATGTATGTGTGATACAAGCCATATACTTGTCCTTTCAGTATACCTTTTTTTAAATCAAAATCTAAATTTAAGTTGGTATTTTTTCTGATTCATTGTTGGCACCGTTTGTGTCACAAAAAGTTCTGATTATTGTGATTCCACTTGATAGGATTAGTTTAGTTTCATACTGTACTTTAAATATGTGTGGTGCACTTTCCTAAATTATATAGTTTAAGTAACTTTGTACAGAAGTTTGTATACAATCACAAAGTATATTCCTATCACATTTTCTTTATTAACAGTTAGACAGTATTTTAGTTTTTGTCATTATGATCATCCCTTCTTTTCCCTATCCTTCCAGACAAACTATGAAAACAGAATATATAGCCTGAAAGTAGAATGTGGATCTAAATACCCAGAAGCTCCTCCATCAGTTAGATTTGTAACAAAAATTAATATGAATGGAATCAATAATTCCAGTGGAATGGTAAGTTATGGTAATACTTATTTTTATATAGCATATGATGCATAGGCAGGAGTTTGGAACAGTTTTGTCAAGTTGAAAGGCTAAAGAAGTTTGTCATTCAGGAGGTAGAGGCAGGGGGATTAGGAGTTTGAGACCAGCCTGGGCTATATAGTTTGCTCTGTCACCAAATAATTAGTTTGTTTTAGGTTGTCTTTCATTTTCTTCCCCTCCCCTTCACTGTCTTCAAGATATATAATGTCACACTGTAGCTAGCTCCAGGCTAGCTTTTAACTTGACTCCATCCTGCTTCAGCCTTCTGAGTACTAAGAATGTAAGCATTAAGCCACCAGGCCAATCCTTAACATCTTCAGGTGTCAAAAAGTAACATTTTTTTTAGAATTTTATTAATTGCATCACTAGTCTTAGTTTGAACAAATCTTTGCTTGGTGAAATGACTTACTATTCCTTATTTCTTTCTTTAGAGCTAAATTGCTTTTTTGAGATTAAAAGTATGTTTTTCTTTGAGGAACAGATGTGTCTATTTGATTATTATGGCTAAGCATGGTTGATACATTAAAGTAGATAACAAAATGAGTAAGATGGCCGGGCGGTGGTGGCGCATGCCTCTAATCCCAGCACTTGGGAGGCAGAGACAGGCGGATCTCTGTGAGTTCGAGGCCAGGTTGGACCAACAGCCTCCAAAACAATACAGAGAAACCCTGTCTCATAAAACCAAAAAAAAAAAAAAAAAAAAAAAGAGTAAGATGTCCTGACCCATACTAATCAGTAGGGTAGCTGACTTTCTAATGTGAGTAGATTGATGGTTAGGTTCATAGGATTTTGGACTCAAGCTCTTAAGGTGCCAGGTTGAGAGTACACTCAGTGTGGTGTATATGTTAGGGAACAAAGTAACATCATGAACTTCATCCCTCCTGAGAAGTAAGAATGTCAGGGTTCTTCACTTTGTGTGTTCTTGTTACTCTGTGTTGGTGTTCTCTCTTCCCACCTGTATTTTATGTACGTATGCATCCATTCTCTCTTCCCCTCTCTTTTCTTCTATTATTAAAAGTCACAAATTTATGCTAATACTGTTAAAAACAAAGAATAATTTTGGTGTTACACAGAGGTACATATAAGCAAGCCAAAAGTAGCTGGGCAATGCCAGTTTTTTCTACACAAATGGTACCAGAACCCAAACCTTGCTATCAAGCATACATGGACAAGATGTTTTTCATCTTTTATTATTGACATGGGGGTAACTATGTCTTATTCCATTGGTGGGTGCTTGACTCCACATCTGAGGAAGTTGGCTAATTGGTACAAAGGGGAAGGTTCAGTAAATAGCAGTCCTTGCTGGTCTAAAACTAACTTTGGAGCCGGAGTTATATTATCATTGTGTCACAAGTCCTCCTCCTTGGGGAGGAGAGGGTTTGATTTCATTTTACATTCCAGGAAACAGTTCATCACTGAGACAATCCAGGGAAGGAGCAGAACCATGGGAGACTGTTCTTTACTGGATCGTCTCATCCTGCTTGCTCAGTTACTTTGCCCAAGAGTATACTGCCCAAAGTAGTAGCTCTCCTTCATGAACGAGCAATTAAGAAAAAAATGCCCCATGGACTTGTCTGGTGGAGGCAATTCCTCAGTTGAGGTTCCTTCTTCCCAAATGTCTCTGGTTTGTTAAGTTTATAAAAATTAACCAACACAAATATGTCAGAGGGGAGGTATGCTCATGTGGAAGTCAGAGGACAGTTTTCTGGGAGTCAGGTCTCTCCTTCCACAGTCGGATCCTCCCCCAGGTGTACCATATTTCCTGCTCCCCATAATCTTTACAGAGCAAGTAGCCAGGATAATAACCACTATTATTTTGTTTGAATTTAAAAACAGATTTTAAAACCAAACTTGTGAATTTTTTATAAAATGGCTGACCAGAAGTTGCAGTCAAGTAGAGCATCAGGCTAAAACCAGGCTAACACCGGAATCATATCATTTGTGCTTTACAGTCCTTTGGCTTTGGCCCAAGCTGTGGCCTTCTCTTCAGTTTAACAGATGTCATTTCTGTGCTTGCTGCTGTGTTCACACTTTGTAAGCCTACATGTCATGTACACATGTTTCACCTTGTTTGTTACGACCATGCCAATTTGAGATACTTCATATTGAACTATAAAAAATTAGATTTCGCCAGGTGGTGGTGGCGCACGCCTTTAATCCCAGCACTCGGGAGGCAGAGGCAGGTGGATCTCTGTGAGTTCGAGGCTGGGCTGGACCGACAGCCTCCAAAACAATACAGAGAAACCCTGTCTCGCAAAACAAAAACAAAAATAAACAACAAAAAACAAACAAACAAAAAATTAGATTTCTCATTTTTAGTGCTTAAAATTCTTTGCACCACTTGCTGAGCAATTAGGTTATTTTAAGTTTTTACTGAAAAGTTTGCTGCAATGAGTGTTAAAACTTTTTGCATCTATTTGTGTGTGTGTAGTGGGGGTGTGTGTATGAATGCATGCCCCTGTCAATGTCAAGAGGACAGTTAAAAGGAGTCAGATTTTTCTTCTTACCATGTAGTTTCCTGCAGTCAAGCAAGTGAGTGCCCTGCTGTACCCTAAGACTGTGCTGTTCAGCATGGGGTTCATTGGTTTACTTATTTGGTTGTAATTTGTTGTGTCTGTACTTTTATAAAACACTAGAATATTACTGGAAAAATAAAATGAAAAGATGGACAAAGTACTACTTTAAATTTTGGGGATAGGAGCGCACCTAGTTATAAAATTTGGGCTATTGATCTTATTTTTCTGTAAGCACGGGATGTGACTGACATTGCCTCTGTGGCTGCTTTTAACAGCAGTGGCCCTAAAGCATATATTGTGCCCCAAGGAAAATTCTCTTTTTACTTTCAGTTTCATTTATTTAAAGCTCAGCCAGGAAGTGGCCAAGGATCATCAGTCAGCTTTGGAAACCTTGCGTTTTGATCCATTTGTTTCAATTAAAAACAAAAACAAAACAATTTGTGTTCTTCATAGAAACTTACACAAATACCAGTAATGAAGGGAAAACTTACATGCTCATCCCAGTGCTTCAAAGCATGATGGAAGAATTAGAATTATTCGAATAGGAGCCTTTTGAATTTGGAGCAAAGGAAATGAAGGAAGTGGAAGGAATAGGCTGCTTAAGTCACTGAGAATGCAGCAGAGCCTTTGGGTGAATAAAGATTTTTGTCAGGCCGGGCGGTGTTGGCACACGCCTTTAATCCCAGCACTCGGGAGGCAGAGGCAGGCGGATCTCTGTGAGTTCGAGGCCGGGCAGGACCGACAGCCTCCAAAACAATACAGAAAAACCCTGTCTCGTAAAAACCAAAAAAAAAAAAAAAAAAAAAAAAAAAAAAAAGATTTTTGTCAGGTGTGTATATGGGGACATTAAAATATTTTCATAGAGATGGGAGATATAAAAAGATTTGAATTCCTTGTTATAAACATAAGTTTTGCAGTATATAATAGAAAACACTAATATTTAATGTTTCTTACACTAGGAATTGAACTCTGGTTTTCTCTAAGGACAGCCAATGCTCTTATCTGCTGAGCATCTCTCTAGCCCCTACTTACAAATTTTAAATTGAGAAAAATACTATTTTTTTCTAAGTAATTTTAATAAAAACCCAAGTAACAGAATTTTAAACAAAACATTGGGCATTTTATTTTAATATCTAACAGCTGTAAAAATAAGCACGGGCAAAATATTTGTGTCTTGGGGACAGTCTGTTTTTTTCCTACTGGCAAATTTGAATTACCTTGCTTAAAATTTGAGTAGGGGGGGTTGGGGGATGGGCAGTGAGATGACTCAGCTAAAAGCACTTGATGCTCAATACCAATGACCCTGGAACCCACATTAAAAAAAAAAAAACAGGGGGGTGGTAGCTCAGCTCTGTAATTGCAGCATTACTAAGGCATGTTGGGAGCAGGAGACTAGGATCGTCCATAACCAGCACAGTAACAGAAGTAATTTTAATATCTATACATATGTAAACACAATATGTACATATGCATAGTCATACATAAAAATAGGCCAGGTTATTCCCCAAATTTTGTGGGTTTTGTTTAGGTTTAGCATGCCAGTGTCGGACCCCCGCCCCAGGCTACTGATCTGTAGTAGTAACATCTGATAGTAAATGATCCTTAATCCTAAACTTGGATTTGTAATGGTAAAGGTAGAACTTACTAGAAATATCATCAAAAGTTCATGTGTTAAGGATATCGATTAACCTAAACATCATTGAGTAGAACTTAAGTAAAAGCTGAAAAGTCAAAAGGTGAGGCCTGCTAAATAAATGTAGGATGATATCATTTCCTGGGTAAGAGCTAATCAACAGAAAAGACACTCCCACACATGGAAATTGCGCCTGTAATTCCATGTTTACGTCTGATTTCTAAGGTTTCCAACTTAAAATTAGGTCACATTATATTCTGTATATTCTCTGTGTATCTAAAAGAAAAGGGGTGGGGAGAAGAAGAAAAGTAAAACTCAGGATACTCTAAATGAATTCTACACTACTGCATTACTGGCCTGTGTTATATTTTCAGCTGAGATGCATATACTGGGCTCCTTGCTAGTAGACGTTTACTGCCTTGTTCTGTATTACCACAGTTATCCATGGGTTGGGTTTTCTGAGTAAAGAAAATAGTAAAGAACTATTTTGGTAATAGTTCTTTAAAACATTGGATACACAAAATAGCTCTTACGAAATAAAACCCTATAGACTGTAAATTTTAGAATCCCCCCTCCCCATTTCCTGTCTTACTGTTCTGCTGCTGTGATGAGACACCATGACAAAGCAACTCTTATGAAAAGAAGCATTTAATTGAAGGCTTACCTAACAGTTTTAGTGGGTTAATCCGTGGTTATTATGGTGGGAAGCAGACAGGTATGGTGCTGGAACAGCAGCTGAGTGCTTTACATCCTGATCTGCAGGCAAAGAGACAAACTGGTGTGGGCTTTGAAATGTTAATACCCACTCCCAGTGATACATTCCCTGCAACAAGTCCATACCTGTAGACAGGGGTTCTGTCCCACCTGGTCCCACAGCCATTTAGCCCCAAAGAAACACAGAGAGACTTATATTAATTATATGTTTGGCCAATGGCTTAGGCTTCTTACTGGCTAGCTCTCTTTTAATTAATAACCCATAACTGTTAACCTATGCTTTTCCACATGGCCATATCCTGCGGGAGAATGTCCAGCATCCTATATTCCTGGTATCTACATGGTGTCCCTCTGACTGCTCACTCTCCATGTACTCTCCTTGGAGTTCTCCTTCTCTGGTAGCCCCACCTATACTTCCTGCCTGGCTATTGGCCAATCAGTGTTTATAGAAACATCCTCCATCACATACCTATTCCAACAAAACCATACTTCCCAGTCCTTGCCAAATAGTTCCACTTACTGGTGGTGACTAAACATTTGACTATATGAGCCTTATATGAGCCTATGGAGGCCATCCTTATTCAAAGTACCACACTAACCAAACAACTTAAGGGAGGAAGAAGGCTTTATTTTGGCCTATAGTTAGAGAAAGGTCAAGTAAGGTAGGTAACCGGAGCATGAGGCAGCTAGTCACATTGCAGTCAGGAAACCGAGATAAATGCTGGCGTTCACCTTTTCTTCTTTTTATTTAGCTCAGAACTTCAGCCCATGGAATGGTGCCACCCACATTTGAGTAAATCTCCCCATCTCTCATGACCCAGTCTAGAAATTCTCAGAGCCACACCAAGTGGTTTGTCTCCTAGGTAATTCTGAAGCTAGTCAAGAGACGGTGCTAGTTATGGAAATGAGAGGGTCTCAGCAGGAGAAAAGTTTGAGGGTATGAAAGCGAGGTGGCAAATGTGTTGGGGAAGAGATGAGCGGGGTCCCCTATCCATGAGATTGCAAGTGTGACAGAATGTACTTAAGGAGGAAAAGTAATAGAAAGCTCCATAGCCTGTGCCATAGCAGAGGCCATTCCTAACGGGTTTTGGATCCAGAATGTGCTGCTGAGTGAATTTTTCCCATGTGGAAGTCACTCAAAAGTTGGTTCACCTCAACCCAAATCTCAGGCAAGAGAATGGTTGAGTATGTTGGATTGGTCCTTAAAGTGATATACCCCTTACTAGTCATGATGGTCCCACCTCATGTAAAGGTTGGAAAAAAGAGAATTCTGAAGTTCTCTGTTGGGAGTACTTACTTACTAAACACAAGGTAATCTTTGGCCAGAAATAAAACAAAACAAAGGATTGAAAGTTACACATAAGCTGGAAGAATAAAGCCAAATAGCTAAGCAACAGTTAAGGAAATCTTCATTACTTCAAAATTTTGCTATACAGGTCACCAGGGAAGTTTCAGTGTCTTCAAGAGACACAGTGTAAAGGGCTGAGATTGATGGCTCTGTGATTAAGAGCTTTGTCTTAGGTTTCTATTGCCTGTTAAAACACTGAGCAAAAGTAGCTTGGAGAGGAAAGGGTTTATTTCAGCTTACAGTTTCGTATCACAGTTTATCACTGAGGGAAGTCGGAGCAGGGTCTCAAACGGCATGACTCTGGAGGCAGGAGCACAGTCCATCATCAAGGATGTCAGGGCAGGAGGCTGGAGGCAGGAGCTAATACAGAGGTCATGGAAGAGTGCTGTTTACTGGTTTGCTTCTTAGCCTGCTTTCTTACTTCACCTAGGACCACCAGGCCAGAGTTGGTACTATCCACAGTGAAGTGGACCATCTCACATCAATCATCCATCAAGAAAACGCCCCACAGGCTTGCCTACAGGCCAAGCCTATGGAAGTATTTTCTTGTTAAAGATACCAATTCTCTGATGACCCCAGCTGCTGTCAAGTTAACATAAAAGTGAGCCAGCACAAATGTGTTTTGCTTTTCCAGAGGACCTACTCAACAGCTGCTTGCCCCTTCAGTTCCAGAGAATCTGGTGCTGTCTTCCACACTACAAAGACACTTTCATTTATATGCATGCATGTGGCACATGACACGCACACACACACACACACACACACACACACACACACACACACACACACACACAGCTCTCTCTCACGATTTAAAAAGTAAATCTTTTAAAGAGCTCAATGTACTGGCTGTCCAACCTTGAGAATTTCTTTTCAGAGACTCCTCAGATGATTCTAGCAATCTCATCTTTTTTTTTTTTTTAACATTTGGGAGGTGATTGGTTGTGGTTGTGTGAACATACATGTTCACAGAGGCAGAGGTTGTCATTTGGCATCATCTTCAATTGTTCTGAACCTTTTACTATATCAGGTGTGCTGATTAGGCTCACTAGGCTAGTGCCTTTCACCTCTCTGTGAACTCCTGTGGTGGGGTACAGGTGCACACTGCTCTGCCTAGCTTTTTGACTTGGGTGTCAGCGATTGAGCTTAAGTCCTTAAGCTTGCCTGGTAAGCGCTTGACTGACTGAGCCATCAGCTTGGGTCATAGAGTAGAATTTCAGGATGAGTTGGTGTGAAGCAGAGTTTACTAAGAAAAGGTTTTAATTGTAGAGTCAGTGTTAAGGAAGGGAGATGAACATTTAAGAATACATCCAAGTGGCAAGAATGTCACCTAGTTATTTCTTTACAGTCATTTTAATATACATGGCTTCAATTTTTTCCCCCAAAATCCTTGTCTTGCTGTCTTCACCCCCTTAATGTTTTAGGTAGCCCTCAGTGGGTTTCATTAAACACCTCTCTTGTTCTCCATTCCCCTTCTCATTAGCCTCCTTCCTTCCCAGTAGTCTTCCTTGTTTTTTATTTTTCTTGCAAGATATTTTAATTATTCTTAAAATGATCATGCAACATGTATTGGATAAATAAATTTGTATTAAGATACTCACATTGAAGGTATTTTTCTTAAAAATTTTCATGGGTCATCTAAGTAATTTTGTCTATTTTTATCCTGGGAAACTCTTAGTGAATATCTAAAATCATCAGTATATACTGCTACATTGATCTCGAGAAATTAGACTGCAATCCTGCAGGTTTTGTTTCCTGAACACTTAGGCTTGTGTTCATCAAGCCTTCCTCTGTTACAAGGAAGACGAGTACAGCATAGGTGAGGAATTGGCTCATGTTTGTAGGTATTAGTGACTTGTTTAGAAGCCTGAGCCTGCTTGGGAGAGTGGGTAGGCCATGTGGCATGGTTGCTTCATGGCAAGCCTGCACATCAATTTACCAACCTGCTAGAAGTCAGCAGCTGACCAAGTTCATTGCTCACTGATCCATGTACACGTATTTAGGTCTTTTGTTTCTATCACTATTTTAGCTCCTGGTGCACAGGTCTTATTAGTACATTTCTTAATTTGTAAGATTTCTTGTCATTGCAAGTGTACAGAGATACAACTGGTTTTTTTGTTTGTTGTTTGTTTGTTTTTTTGAGACAGGGTTTTTCTGTGGCTTTGAAGTCCATCCTGGAACTTGCTCTGTAGACCAGTCTAGTCTGGTCTCAAACTCACAGAGATCCACCGGCCTCTGCCTCCCCAGTGCTAGGATTAAAGGTATCCACTGCCTGGCTGCAACTGTTTTTTAAAACATGAATACTATGAACTTACTAGCTTTAGTAGTTTGATTCCCCCACTTTCCCACGCTTCCCCTTTCTTTCTCCTCTCCCTCCTCCTTTCCTTGTCTTCCCCCTTCTGTCTCTTTCTCATCCTCTCTCCTCCCCTCTTCTGCCCCTTCCCCCTTCTTGTTCCTCCCCATGTTATTGAGACAGGGTTTTGTTGTGTATTCCTGGCTGGCTTGTAACTCACTGTATAGACCAGACTGGTCTCCAGCTAACAGATATCTGCCTGCCTTTTCCTCCTAAATGCTGGGATTAAAGGTGTGTGACACCATTCCTGGCCTCCAGTAGTGTCTCTCTCTCTCTCTCTCTCTCTCCATCCACTCACTTATTTATTTGTTGGTTTGTTTTGTTTGTTTATCCATCCATCCATTTACCCATTCGTTCATTTATTTTGGTTTTTCTTTTTTCTTTTTTCTTTTTTTGGTTTTTCGAGACAGGGTTTCTCTGTGGCTTTGGAGGCTGTCCTGGAACTAGCTCTTGTAGACCAGGCTGGCCTCGAACTCACAGAGATCCGCCTGCCTCTGCCTCCCAAGTGCTGGGATTAAAGGCGTGCGCCACCACCGCCCGGCTTAAATCAACAACTTTATACTCATGTTAATCATTAAGAAGGGTTTATAAATATTTACATTTAATACAATATTTGTACACATATAATAAATTTGGTAATAAGATTGCTACATGTAGCCGGGTGTTGGTGGTGCACTCCTTTAATCCCAGCACTTGGGAGGCAGAGGCAGGTGGATCTCTGAGTTTGAGGCCAGCCTGATCTACAGAGCGAGTTCCAGGAAAAAAAAAAAAGATTGCTACATTTATTGTAAAATACAAAAAATAGACTTAAAAATCCAAATTTTTATCTTGTTAAAAGTATTTTTAAAATATACAATTTTAAAATATACTAATTTTGAACCTTAGTGTTAGAGTATACATTTTAAACCTGAAATTTCATAGCATTCTTTTTAAAGTATACTTAAAATATTGGTACATCGTAGTACATTATCATCACTAGTAGTACTATTAATTTTGTTTCCTGTGAATCACGATTTCCTTATCTAGCCCAGGCTGGCCTGACCTTGTGATCTTCTTTTCTTTGCTGGGATTGTGGTCTGCCTTGCCTAGCTATGGTTCTGCAGTATTTCGTTTGGTAGTTAATTGTCTGTCTTTTCCTCCTCTCTCAGGTGGATGCACGGAGCATACCAGTGTTAGCAAAATGGCAAAATTCCTATAGCATTAAAGTTGTACTTCAAGAGCTAAGACGTCTAATGATGTCCAAAGAAAATATGAAGCTTCCACAGCCACCAGAAGGACAGACATACAACAACTGATTTTAGTGAATCTCAAACTTGTCTTAAATCAACAACCTTCTACTCATGTTAATGTCTTGATTAAATAATCACCATGCAAAATACCCACACATTAAGTAAAAGAATTCCAGCTGGTAAACATGATCCGGACAGTTGTAAGAATATATTTAATATATGTACACCTATTATGTTTTCAGGTAACAGAAGTGCAGCACAATTTTTCTTTCTCTTCTTAAAGCACTGTCATTTAAACATGAACCTGAAGTATTCAAAATTGAATTCAGGTTTTCAAGACAAAAGCATGGCAAAGGAGTGTCAGATGCAGTGGAAACCTTTGTCTTTCTGAAAAGTAAAGTCTCAAGAAGGAAGAACAGAAATGGCATGCTTTATCCATCATCCTTAGACTGCAGTGAACTGTTTAAAGTAGCAGGTATCATGAGTAGTCACAATTGTGTTAACTCTTGAAGCGGTGCGGGTGTGGGTGCTGACTACTATAGCATCAAAAATTGCTTCAGGATTGTTTTGGTACCTGTATTTATAATAAAAAGATGTTGGGTATTGACGAATCTCTGTTAAAAGCTGTTCCTGTTTGTTACATGTAACAGACATGATAAATATTTGTTTACAGTCTTTGTTTAATAAAACATACTTAGAAGTTTTAAGTGAAGTCAACAAAAAGGAAATAGGTGTATGGATATGTGATTCTGAGATTAAAGTTAGTCTTGAAATGTAAATAAAATATGGAATGTGTCCTCAGAGACTGTGCTATTTCTGTTACATTGATGTATGTATAGTAGCCATATCAGGGTGGCAAAATTGGGGATTATTAAACTAGGCATGGTGGTGGCAGAGGCAAGAAGATTGCAAGTTCCAGGCCAGCATGGGTTGGTAAATAAGACTGCATTTAAAACCAAACCAAACCAAAAATATTGAGAACATTACAAATTTTTATTGAAGCACATCTTTTTTTATACTATTTTATATACTTGCGGTTGGAATTTACAGAGCATTTACTTTGACATACTACATGCTTAGTTTAATTTCTTTGCATAAAGAGGTATCCCAGTTACTCCATTTCTAATTTCATTGTAGGTAATATTCAAAAAGAATCTTTTCATTTTGGCACTTCTTTATAGTTACAGACCACAAATTATTCAATTATTCATTCCTTTTTCTTTGTGACATCTTTATTTTCATAAGAAGCTTTTGGTTACGTACATTCCATATATTGAAGACATTTCCTCCCTATGAAACTCTTTATATTTTATTTGGGTGTGTGTGTGTACCTGTGCAGGTCGGAGGATACCTTTGTGGAGTTGGTTCTCCACTTTTATGTGTGTTCCTGGTGTTAAATTCCAATCACCATCCTTGTGAACAAGTGCCTTCACTGCTGAGACATCTCATTGGTCCCTTCCCCTATCTTTTAAGACCATTGAAAGCTAATTTTATCCATTCTATTCCTTTCACCTTAAGAAATCTATGTCTGAAGTTGAAAATTCATTTTTACTATTTTATCAGTGACAAAGTTTGATTGTCAAAATAAAAAATTAGATGTTCAAACTTTGCCCATAAAAAAAGTAGGTTGTGAATTATTAAACTATTTTGGTTACTTTTGTAGCAAGGACAGGTTACTTGTCATGTTTTGATCAAGGTGTTTCAAAACTTTATTTTTTTATTTTTTGGGTCAGCATTGCATTCATTAAACTCTTGACAGTTTGTTTAAACATCATTAGTATCACTGTGTACCCTGTGATGACCTCAGACTTGCAGCATACTCATGTGTTAGCCTCCCAAGTACTGGTCCAACATAAATGTACTAGCCTAGTTATCAAAGATTTTTGTTCACTTTTCTGTGTGTGTGTGTGTGTGTGTGTGTGTGTGCGCGCGCGCGCATGCGTGTGCCTGCCTGCGTGCATGAGATGCCTTAAAGTTGGTGTGATGATATATTTTTTATGATTTATTAAGGCTTGCCCGAGGATTCAGAAAACAAAATCAGCCTCAAGCTACAGAGATCATACAGTGGTGGTATACATCTTTAATCCCAGGGCTCAGGATTAAGAGGTAGACTATCTCTGTTAGTTCAAGGCCACCATAGCCTACATAGGAGTGAAGAGTAACAGAGCTCATGCCTTTGATCCCAGCAGTTGGGTCATACGCCTTTAATCCCAGCATTGGGGAGGTATTTAAGACAGGAACAGGGTCTCAGAGCTGGCATTCATTCTCCAGCCATGCCAAGGAGAGGCAGCATTCTGAGGTTTGGAGCCAGGAGTGACTTTCAATCTGAGGTAGAGTGAGAGCTAGTGCTGGCTGCTTTGCTTTTCTGATCTTCACCTTGAAGCTTGAATCCCAACATCTGTCGCTGGGTCTTTTATTTATTGTGTTACAAGTTGGTGTCAAGAATCTTCCTCAATTATTCTTTCACTTTATAATTTGAGACAGGGTTTCTAAGTGAGCCCAGAGCTCACTGATGTAGCTAGTCCTGCTAATAGACTTGTTGCAGAGATCACTGCCTCTGCTTTTCAAGACTGGAATTACAGCCTCACCTATCATGTGATTTGGGTTCTTCGGATCTGATCTGCAACAGGCATTTCAGCATTGAGCCAGCTCATCAGCCCCTCAAAGATGTTATAACTGTTTCAAAACAACACAGAATACAGTATCATAAAACTTTTCCATGTATAATTTATTAAAACAGACTTAAATATTATCCTAGTATTTTAATGGTTAAAGGTTAAGTTGAATTGTGCTGATAGTATAGAATCATTACCAGTGTGGTATTTTCTGCCTTGAAAATGTGTCTTGTGATACTTGGAAGCTATTAAGTGTTGGGAGCTTTTGGTAGGCTGGGGATCTGGTACTGTGGCCTCATGTCCTCGTTGTATATGATACTGTAGAAGTCCTCCCCTCCACCCAAGTTTCTGTTGTTGGAGAGTCTAGCCCATTAAAAAAAAACAAACTGAAAAACAAAAAACCCTTTCTTGTGTTAGGGATTGTGGATCTTAGAGGACATTTGTGATTCATTTAACGGATTTCCAAAGCAGAATCCATTGTGCATGTAACAATTACAGTATCTATGGTAATCTAAGGTATCTTAATTGATGAAACTTTAGAGTTAATAGAGCCTCTTTCAAATATAAGCCATCAGTTTTAAAGCAAAAGTTCCTTTGTAAAATGGCTAGGGTTGCAGGGATGTTGTGGTGTAAACAGACTAGGAAATCGCCTTAGAAATTTGTTACAGAGATTTTTGAAGTGTGACCCTTGGATGGTTATATGTTAATAAAAGTTACAAAAGTAAAATTTTTGTCCTAGTAGGTCACTGTTATACTTTAATGGCTTTAGCTATTTGGTTGTTTTTCAGAATTGATAGATTTTTATTATTTGATAATTTAAAATAAAATTATTTTTGTTTAGGGATCTGTGTATAACTTGCCAGGTTTTTGGAACAAACATTGGGAGGGATCAGAGGCATTTTAGTCTTCTGGGTGTGAAAACAAATCTTAAAATTTTACACCGTCCTTTAAAAAAGACTATTATGCTAAACATTTGAGTAGGTGAATAAAGAGGGAATTAGATTGGCCCATCAGTCCAAGCTACTTTACCAATAGACTAATTTCAATGCTAATTGCTACCTAACATATGTTATACATTGTAAATGCATGTGAAGTTATTTGAAAATTTAGAGCATACTTTTTAAAAACATTTTTAATAAGGTTGATATTCATGGCTTTAGGTCATTCTTGTGTAAGTGCATTTGTAGGTTCTATTGTATAGAAAGACAGCATTGAACTGTTTTTGGTCAAACTTATGTCAACTTTTTACATGAATTCTCCTGTTCGTTTAAAATGTTATAGTCTTGTAGCATGCTTGAAAAGATTTTGGAAAGTATTTAAGGAATCTTGTCTAGGTTTTCCTTTATAAGTGATTTTTAGATATTTGCATGCAGAATTAAGATATTATTTATTGTTGGAAAAAGTCTAACAGATGCTGATTTCGCTTTTCTGGTAAGTAGCATTGTAATTTTACAGCTTCAGTTTGGCTAGTCTTTGACTAGTTGTAAATTCCCAGTATTTTGGAAAGGTATACATGGTTTCAGACCTGGAAACACCATGAAAAGAAATTGGTGTAGTCAGTGTATTATAGAACCCATAGGAACAAGAGTGATAAACTCTCCTTCAATACTGAGTTTACTCAAAAGCAGGGAATCCACAGGACTAGGGTTTATAAAGTTAATATTCATTGGGGGCATTACCAAAGAGTGGATGGACTCCCCCTCCCATACTGTTATTTTTTGTGTGCCTGTGTGGTTGGGTGTGCGCAAGCACACATGTACGCATATGCTAGCTATGGAGGTCAGAGAACATCTTACGAGTTTTCTCCTACTATGTGAGGTCATGAACTCAGGTCATCTGGCTTAGGGGCAAGTACTTTTACCCTCTAAAGCCATCTTTCTACCCCCAAGGAAATCTTACACTGAAAATATTTGATGTTTAGAAAGTTTTGGGGAATGTTGAAAAGATACATAAGTGTTTTCTGAAAAGAAAACTAATGAAGGTATTTGATGATACAGAAAAGAAATAAAAGTCAAAACCACCATTTTGTAAAATTAAGGAGATTGAGAGACTCATGGAGTGAGTTGCACAATAAAAAACAAAACAAAACACTAGAAGGGCTGGAGAAATAGCCTTGAATTCATTGGTGCAGGAAATGATTTTCTGAATAGAATACCATTAGTGCAGGCACTAAGAGCAATTGGACCTTGCCAGGCGGCAGTGGCACATGCCTTTAATCCCAGCACTTGGGAGGCAGCGGCAGATGGATTTCTGTGGGTTTGAGGCCAGCCTGGTCTACAGAGCAAGTTCCAGGAGAGGCTCCAAAGCTATACAGAGACCCACCCCTCAAAAAAAAAATACTGACTTAGGTAGGTTTCTAATCATCATAACTAAATAGATCTTTCTTAACTTGGAAGATCTAGCAACTGTCCTTTCTCAAGTGGGTAACTGGCTAAATCCCATGTGACAGTTGGCCAGTGTGTCACCAAATATAGGTGTAATGGTGGTTGTTTTATTCTGTCTTTGCTGAGTGTCAAATTATCTACTTAAAAAAAAAGCTGGCCAAAGATTATACACAAAAGCAAGGTTGATTTCTGCTTGCAGGCTGTTGTCTTATAGATTCTATTGATAACTCTACCAGCAGTTTTTTTTTATGCCAGCACTGCCCTAGTGGGTTAGGAAAAGCTGAGGTTGAGCCCCAGCTGGCCATGGCTTGTACTTCTTTCAATGAAGAAATGATTGGCGACTTGGTTCCAAGTCCCCGCATGTGACTTAGACTGATATTTTCCAAGGATGGCAGAGCTGTGAAAGTTTCATAGTGAAAGGAAAAGGTACTAGGAAGTTTTGGACTACAGAACTGCACCAGAGTAGTAAGCTATAGTTACTTGAATTACTTCAGTAAATTCATTTAAAGGCAAGGCTGGTTTGATGTAAAAAATGTAAGGAAAGTGGATCCTTTTGTTACTTCTGGCCTAAAAACTGTGCTTAAAGAACATGAGCTACTAAAAAAGAGAGGAAAGAAAATCCTGAGCCAGAAGAGACAGTTGCAGAAAGAGAAGTGAAAATCAAACAAGCAAACCAAAAAGCCCCTCAGGTGGCAGGGTTCCAGCTGAAGCACTGCAGATCCCGCACATGCAACACATGAAGTGCCCCTCAGCCTCAGATGCCCACATGTAGACAAACATGACTCGGTGCTGAGGGAAGTTA